CACACTGAACGCTCTACATCCTTTTAATTATGTTTGAAATTATGAACATTGCTCAACATCATGAAAATTAAACCTTATTTTCAATAAGCAATCCTGAAAAATATTTGGGGGTGCTTAACTTTTTTCCAGGTGTATATGTTAAAACTGAAAGTAGTAGATAGCAGTTAGTACGTTGTATTTAGAACTGTGAATGCTTTTCCAGGGGTAGTTTTGTTTGTTTGTTATCAAGCGCAACGGGCTATCTGTGCTGTCACCGTGGGTATCGAAACTCGATTTTTAGCATAGTAAGTTCTCAAACTTACCGCTGAGGTACAGAAGGGTCTTTTTTCTTCAAAAAAGTACTTGTGTGTGTTAATTCGTTCATCCTAGTTGTTGTTTTTCTAATATGTGATTCTTTCCTAGAGCAAAGTGACAGTGTTGTTACTCAAGATAAAAATAGAGGAAACTAAAAACAATAACATGTATTTTAATTGATGACAGATAATTAATACTGTAGTCGAGTATTGAGTTTCATCTAATTCATTATGATCGAATCGCAGCCTTTATTTTTTTCTTATGTTATTATAATCTCTTTTTAAATGTTTTAAGTTGGAAATGAAACAAAAAGCACTAAGAACTGAGTACACTCTTCTCTAGTTGAGTATGAGCTCCCATTCATTTGTTTGTCTTCTGAATTTTCGTTGGTGAGTCACAATTTACAAAACAAGAATGCCAGTAATACATCTACTAACAATCTTGGGTGGATTCTTTCGGACCGTTGGAAGAAATGAGGTGAAAAAATACAACTGTGAATATTCCTACACTTTCCAAGGAATATTAGATGGCATGGAATACCCGTAAGAAAATTTTTATAAAAGTAACCAAACTGAAATTATTTTCTCCTTGTTAGAAATGTCATCTAGCTACATAATACCTTATCGTTTGATAAGTTTCTTCTCGTTTTACGAATAACAAACGGTAAAGTTAGAGAGACAAAAAAACTATACATAATTACTTTTTGTATTTGTTTTAAACAGCCACATACAACCTAACATCGTTTACTTCGGTTTACTGCAGACAAAACGATGGCGGGAGAAAAATAAAACTAGGCACGAAATTATTATTGGATGACTTTTCATGAACTTTATTTTGCAGTTTTGAGTTAAACAATAACGAACGAACAAACAAAACACTTTATCCAAGTCAATGACCTCCTACTGGACGGTTACTTTTTGTTTCATCATGTGGTATCTTCAGAACTTGAATGGGAGAACTTCCTTTTCTCTAGAGTCGGATAATATCTATTAGGAAATAGTCATATTAACTTCTTCAGAATATAGACTTTTAATGAAAGATCGAGAATACACACTAAAATAACAGCAAAGACTGAATAATAATCAACTAAATTAATTTTATCCATTTATATACTCACTATACATTGTTTTTTTAATTCTAAACAACTGAATAAATTCTACCGATTGCTATATTTACTATTTAATAATTAAAATTACAAACAATTAAATTAATGTTACAGATTTTTATATTTACTATTTAATAATTAAAATTACAAACAATTAAATTAATGTTACAGATTTTTTATATTTACTATTTAATAATTAAAATTACAAACAATTAAATTAATGTTACAGATTTTTATATTTACTATTTAATAATTAAAATTATAAATAATTAAATTTATGTTACAGATTTTTATATTTACTATAGTTTTTAAGAGTCCCCCATTATAAGCAGCTGAATGACTTTTCTCAATTTCTATACTCACTATAGATTTTAAAGTTTTTTCATTATTACCAACTAAATTAATTTTATCGATTTACATACTCACAAAAGATTTGAAATTGTATTTTCTATTATAATCAACTAAATTAATTTCCCGATTTTTGTAATCACTGTAGCTTCTGAAGTATTTTTTATTTTTAAGTAACAGATAAAATAAATTTCACTGATTTCTATATTCACTCTAGATTTTTAGTTGTTGTGCTTTTCATTGCAAAAGAATAGAGTTCAATAATCGTGTTAGTTTATTGTTCGGTTAAACATTTCTTATGAGGATTAAACTTTCAAAAAGCTATGATTTCAGCGGCATCTAATATTTGTTTAGTCCAAAACAAAAACACTTTGTTAATCGTATTTAATTAATTTCAAATGTTTATCAAGCTTCTTTTACTCATTTTCTTAACAAAAGAAATCGGGAAAGTGTTCGATCCCTTAAGAATCGAATTTTTCAAATAGCAAATAATATATTCTACTTTAAATTTAATTACATAATTACGTAAATCCAGCAAAAATTAATTATTTGATTGTTTTTAATTTTCTTTGCTTTCGAAATCAAAACAAATTTTTGACCAGCTAAAATTCAGTTCTTAAATACTGAAGTGTGAGTGCAGTCAAACATGTTCAATCAAGAATGGTAAGTAAAAGTTATATTTAAGTAATTATGACCATTTTTTTATAAATCATACTGACCTACTTTGATGGTCCCAATTGTAACAACGTTATTATTAATGTTATAGTAACTGGAACTGCGGAAAATCCCATGGAACTTCCAGAATTTCCTCCTTCACTTGTTGAAGACTGAAATTTATAACAAGGAAATAAATCACTATCATTAATTAGACAGAGAAATATTTCTCCACAGTAAGCTTTCATACATACTGCACGAATCTTTAATAAAAAGTCACAACAAAGCTTGTATATGGGTATTCTTGTCGGGCATGTTTCCACTTACCATTACCGTGTGAATCCTATGTTACTGTATTTACACTTATGGTTAGATTTTAGATTACAAAGTCATTTGATTTGATTTTCATAGATGTGATAGAAACAAACACTCATCTATGGTCCACCTAATGTAGAATAGCAATAAAACTAACGTTTTATGATATATTTAAAGACATAATGATTTCATGTCAAAAGAAGTAAATATATATCTATACACATCATTAGTTAGGCCTTACCTGGAATATTGTATACAGTACTTATGTCTTTAAACTAAGAAATGATATCGATTTATTGGAAAGGATTATGTTATTGACATAGATTAAGATATCTTATTTTCTATTGAGAAAAGAAATATGATCTTGTTAAAGTTCACAAGATTATATGGGGAACAACAGAAAAAAAGGCTTCTAATATCGTTGTACTATATTCTGAAGAAAATAGGACAAGACGACACGAGTATAAGATTTGGAAAAGTCAAGATACGCTTACGTTAAGACAGATTTATTTTCTACAGGATGACTGACTTGGGAAAAGCGTTGCCTTCAATAATAATCGAGGCCTGCGCTTTATGAACTTTAAGCGGGAAATTGGAAATTTTCTAAATTGAAGGTGGATTGGAAGATTTAATTTTCTCAAGAATGGGCATGCAAGGATATCCTTGAAGGATCAAATGGTCCCTTGTTGTCCGTTTGTCACGTTTCGAGTTTTAATGGTGGAAGACAAAATTTGATATTAACCAAACAAATCCTAAGTTATTATACATTTTACGTAAATCCCCCTGTGGTTCGATGGTAAGTGTAAGGCTTAACAATAAAAACAGGTTTCGATACCCGCGGTGTGTAGAGCCTGTTGTGTAGCTTTGCGCTCAGCAACAAACAAAACCGAAATAAACAAGTTTTTTTTCTTATAATTCATAACATTCGTACTTTCTAAAAAATAGTATTAATAATCTATTACTACGGTATATTAGTGTTAATCATTATGCATAGTATTAATAATATATTCGTACGGTATGTTAGTGTTAATCACCATGTATTTACCGACTACTTCGTGGATTAAAAATATATATAAACTTAGAAGAACACGACACTAGAAACCTGCTGTTTGTTAGAAAGGCTACGCAATAAACTATAAGTACCACGAATGACAGCTGTCAGAACATTTCTTCTAGCAGATAAATAGTACGAGAATAGAATTGTGAAATTTGGAGTACCTGACTGCTACGCTACGTTTCATGTGTATTGTTATCCTACAGGTGGTAGTAGATAAAGCTGTCAAAAATTGGTTATTTTTAGTTCAAATTTATGATTACACATCCACATTCGACATCTCGCGAAACAATACATTTCTTATTGAGCTTTACAGATACTATTCGCATAAGTTATTTGTTTCATTTGCTTAGAAATGTCATATTTATTTGCGAATTAAAACATTTACCTAACAGATAGACTTGCAATAAAATCCATAGTAAACTCGAAGTCAAGAGCTAGAAACTTCTGAAATTCGAAACATACTCTCAAAAAGAATAACATTCTCACTAAACTCCTTTTAAAATTTATAAACCAAACTAAACAAAAATACGTATTCTAAATAATTTTTATGCAACTCGCATTAATTAGATGTCATTATTAAGCAGACCGGGCGTGGCCCATTGCTTCGCGTCCCGTTGCCACATAAAAAAAATAGCATTCCGCACTTTGGGGCTGTGGGTATGTTGTAAGTTGACATTTAAATCCCAGTATCGGGTTAGAGTAGCCCATGATTTTGACAGCGGGTTATGTTGACTGACTCGCAAAACTTTATCAGAAACGAAACCTTAATAAGTCGATAAAATTGTCAATCTATAGTATAAAAAATCCCTAATTAATAAAACTTGAATACATCTTTATATGACCTTAGAATATACTGTTACGTCTCCGTTCGTTAACTTTCCGTAACTTCGTTCCGACGAAACTTTAGCGACACAAATCCTTACTTAATAAAACTGGTTTATTCTTTCCGAATACAACTTTACGATACACTTATTTTCAACAATCACGCTAAAACAAACGCTATATCAACGAACGTCAACAATACTTCTGACTACAGTTCAATTACTCACTATCTACACACACATTACCTTCCCGTCACGTTGTCACCCTCTTTTATATACCAGACTACCCTATATCTAGTAAACGCTAGAGCATTCGCCAAGGTACAGGATAGTTCTAGAAACGTGGCGTCACTGTAGTCATGTGACTTCGCTTACGCAACACTGCCCCTTCCTTAGTATTGTTTGTCCCGAACAATAACCACATACAATAAACCAATAACAATTAACAATAACTTAATTAAATGTACAGAATTACAAACACAAAATTACAATTCAACAAAGTCT